GAGAGTTAATGTTCTTTAAATATCAGTTACCTTTTATTACATTTCAGTGTTGCTCTGACCTTAACATCTCCAGGCTTGCAAAGAGATAATAGATTTCTCTGGATAGAGATGTCAATAATAACACTTTGCTCCGAGCTAAAGGTATCTTGCAGTTACATAAGTGTCCAAAATGTGTTCAGTAGTGAGCAAAACCTCATCGACGACAATGAAATCCTCCTTAATGAGGCAGAATTTCCAGCTACTGGGGAAAGTGCAGTAGTGTTTCTATACCTCTTTAAGCTGTATCAGACCCATGTTCTAAGGATGCCAGAACACAAACTTTTTGAAAAGATGGCAAAAAAATGTTTGCAGTCAAGCTGTAATTTATTTTGCTGTATTGTCTAAGTATCAAAAACTATAGGGATGAGTATGATACATACAATTATCAATCAACACTATTCCAATAAGCTACTAATTGAACTCAGTGGTCTTATCCATACCTATTGCTTAAACATACAAACAAACTAGTGGTGTACAGAAAATTTGTGGACCGAAACTGAAACTATAAATTCAGGATGTATTTGGCCGAAAACCAAATCCGAAATGGACAGTTTTTTTAGAAATATATTTTTTATATATAATTGTATGATATTTGACTTTTTAATTAACCACTTGCCCTCCAGAGGATTTACTCCCCTTCCTGACCAGGCCATTTTTTGCGATACGGCGCTGCGTTACTTTAACTGACAATTGCATGGTCGTGCAACAACTGTACATAAATGAAATTTATGTCCTTTTTTTCCCCACAAATAGAGCTTTCTTTTGGTGGTATTTGATCACCTGTGCACTTTTATTTTTTACGCTATAAACAAAAAAAGAGACAATTTTGAAAAAAAACAATATTTTGACTTTTTGCTATCAAAAATATCCAGTAAAAAATCTAATTTCTTCATAAATTTAGGCCAAAATACTGCTATTCTGCTATATTCTGCTACATGTCTTTGCTAAAAAAAAACAATCACAATACATGTAAATTAATTGGTTTACATGAAAGTTATAGCGTCTACAAATGGTGGAATATATACTGGGCTTTCAATTTTTTTTAAACTAGTAATGGCGGTGATAGCAACTTATAGCAGGACTGTGGCGGGCATTCTGATGCTGGGTGGGAACTGACTAACTGCCACTGACATCCCAATGACACTAATACAGTGATCTGTGCTAATAAAAAGAACTGATACTGTACTAATGACACTGGGCAGGAAGGAGGTAACATCTGGAGCGATCAAAGGGTTAACAGCAACTAAAAGCACATCAAAAACATGCATGCAAAACGGACAAAACGCAAACTGCATTGGTATAAACCAGGCCTGAAATGCATTGAAAACACATTAACACAGCATCAAAAATGCATGTGCTGTTTTTTTTTAGGTTTTTTTCCATAAAACTGTTTAATTAGGTCACAGCAAGAAAATACAATGTTATACAAAATACAATAACATGACCAATCGCATATAGTAGAGATTACAAACAGAATTCGTAATGGGCACATACGATAGTTACAGAGCCTTTCAAGGACCCCACATCATTCAGTGCCCTAAGATGCTCACCTTCCCCCTCACTATCCTTGAAATAGCAGAGCCGAGTGGCAAGGCAATCTACATGGAACCGAACAATTCAAAGTATCATATGGCCAGAAAGAACTGAAGTTAACAAAGAGCAAAAAGAATAGGGGAAAGAAGAGAAGAAAACGGACAGATTGGGGGTGGGTTGTATGGGGAAGGTCAGCTCCAGTACCCCCCCTGCCCCCCCCCCCCCCCGCGTCTCCCTGAGGTGGACCATGGGATATTTTAAAGCACTATAAGCCATATTCCACCACAACACATATTGCGTTTTTGGTGCATTTTGGGTTTTTAATCTGCCCAGCAACAAGTTAGCCAAAAAAATTTTAAAAAACGCAAAACACATTAAAAAAATGCGTCATTGCGCATGCAAAACCACAAAAAAACTCACTTAGAAAAGTACTGCAAAAATGGACAAAGCCCAAACTGCATTTGTATGAACCAGTCCTGAAATGCACTGAAAACTGATCAAAAAACGCACACGTGTTGCATTTTGATGCTTGGTGCCAAAAACACGCAATTTTACCTGTGATTTTATCTACGATTTTGCTGCAATTGTACACTGTTTAGGGTGCGTTTTTCATCGGTCATGTGACAAAGTCACATGACCGATGAAAAACGCACCCTAAACAGTGTACAATTGCAGCAAAATCGTGGATAAAATCACAGGTAAAATTGCGTGTTTTTGGCGGCCATTATCAGCACCTTTTTTCCTATCGGCAAGATGCCGATGACAATATTTTCAGCCAAAACATTTCAGTGGCTGATATATCGGTGCATCCCTAATACAAACCGTTCAAAAATATGCAAAGGAGAGCAAACGCTGCATGCAATGCGAAATTGATAAAAGGGACCAAAATAAATATTTGACATGTAGTCCAGCAGGGTTGCGCATCCAATATGGAACTATGAACTGAACAGATGCAAAGCATTCCTAACCTTTGGAAATGATTTTACTATGAAACAATTACCGTCTATGTTGCTCAGCTAGTGAAAGAACAGTCCCTGCTGAGTAATGTATGCTTAAGGTTCTTATCATGTAAGCCATTTTATTTTTAGCTCCTGTCCATCATGTTACCAGACAAGGTGATTTAAAATAAATCACCTGAAATGTGAAATGCACAATGGAACACTCCACGTCCTTTTATTTAAGAATCTGTTTAAGATAAATAAGGTTAACAATTTTATATATAATGACAGCAGATACAGGAGGCAAAATTAAGTAGGCTGTGCAATGATTAACTACAACAGATACAGAAACCATGACAGCCAATCAGACCCCAGCTTACTGAACGCATTCCAGCCAATGACAAACATTGATAGTCACTATTACTGCACATTGCACTTTGCCTAGTTAAGGCTAAGTTCACCTTTTGTAAAAAAGTAAAATAAAAAGGAAGAAATGTTCATCTTTTTCCAGGTAATAAAAATTGGATTTTTGTAATTACCTGTAAAATCCATTTCTTGAATTACATCACGGGAGACAGAGCAGGTTATAAATCATGTCTACCTTTGTGTCCCGTGATGTACGAAAAAGAAAATTGGATTTTTGTACTTACCTGTAAAATCCATTTCTTCGAATACATCACAGGACATAAAAAAGTCATGATTTATAACCTGCTCTGTGTCCCGTGATGTTCTAAAAAAAAAAAAAATGTGCATTTATTATTTTTTTACACTGAAGCCTGTAAAGCCTTGCACCCACAATCAGAAGATTGAGGGTGCAATGCCTGGATCCTGCCGACTCTCAGTAAGTTGTTTGCCTGTACCTCCTGTAATGAACTACGAAAACCCCCCACAGTTCTTTGAGAACTACAAGCCATCTGCTGTAATGGCTGACAGTATTTGGAGTCCATTCATTCACAGGATTCTGCAAATGAATGATACCCATATGGGTGGAGCCCTGCATGGCCATGCTGTGTTCAAATTATGCCAACTGGTGTGGGGAGAATACCCCCCCACCCACTGTCACAGAGTGCTGACGGCAGGAGGTGGGTGTATAGGAGCATGTTACATGATACACTTTAAACATGGGTGGAACATGTTCCTGATGGTGAACTTATCCTTTAATTCACTACTAATGTTCAGAATTCCTAGAAACGAGCTATTCATTTTATATCTATTATTCTGGCAAAATTCAGGTGCTGATATGTTGGCCAAGTTCTACATCCTAAACCTTCCTTAAAATGAAGGCCTGCTTTTGGCTCCCTATGACACGCAGATGTGCACTCCATAATAACTTGATATTACAATCCAAAAAGTGAGTAAGTGACCTCGTCATCAGTTATATGTAGTACATATGCCATCTGAAAGAAGTCCAGGTTATTATAAGAAATCAGATGACCTCGTCCTGCCCTGGTTAATTAACTAGCCAGCATTCCTCAAGTTTCACTATGCTGGTTTTTTGGACTAGAAAAAAAGCAAGCCAGTGGTTAAAAATGAAAAGAAGCTGATTTTACTAACTATAGCCAATGGCCACATTCACCCCAATATTATCAAGTCAAGAATCTAACAAAGTAACACAAGTTATGTCTTTGCTTCCGCTTCCTAAAGTCAACTGACAGAAGTGCTTGGTTCTCTGGTACCTAACCTGTGGCTGATGGCACTTACTGTGTGGCCCTCAGGGCCCTTGCAGACAGTGGACTGTTTTGGTGGTTACTTAGTATTCTTTAGTGTGTCTCCTTGTAGTTAATGGTTTGGTCATTTCTATCACACAAATCTTATTTTTTTTCTGTGCTGTCTATCCCTTTTCTATTTTTATGTGGGGGTTTTTCTCTGACCTATAATAATGGATTTTTCTGAGTAAAATATCAAATGTGGCACAGGTCATTTTTAAGAAGTCTGTGGGGAGCACAAACACGGAAGCATTGCATTGTAAAGGGATTGTAATATGCATGGTCTCTAGCAGTCTCATGTACCATGTCTCAAGGCTATGCCACCTGTCTCATGAAGCAGGTCTCTAGTCTCACTCCTATAGCATGTTTACAGTCTCTGGTCATTTCCAGTAGCATGGCACAACATCTTAACACCTTTCAGGATATGTCTGCAGTCTCTGGCCATTTCTTTTGGTATATCTGAAATCTCTGACCATGTTCTGCAGCATGTCTGCAGTCTCTGGCCATTTCTTTTGGCATATCTGAAATCTCTGACCATGTTCTGAAGCATGTCTGCAGTCTCTGACCATCTCCTGTAGCATGTCTACAGCTTCTAACCATCTCCTGTAGCATGTCTACAGTTTCTGACCATCTCCTGTAGCATGACTGCAGTTTCTAACCATCTCTTGGAGCAAGTCTGCAGTCACTGACCGTCTCCTTTAGCATACAGTTTCTGACTCCTGTAGCACAACTGCAGTTTCTGACCATCTCCTGTCTGAGCACAACTCCTGGAGCAGTTTCTGACCATCTCCTGGAGCATGTCTGCAGTCTCTGACAATCTCCTGGAGCATGTCTGCAGTCTCTGACAATCTCCTGGAGCATGTCTGCAGTCTCTGACAGTCTCATGACTGCAGTTTCTCCTTGTGGAGCATGTCTGCAGTCTCTGACCATCTCCTGTAGCATGTCTGCAGTTTCTGTCAAGTCTCTGACCATCTCCTGGAGCATGACTGCAGTTTCTAACCATTGCCTGGAGCATGTCTGCAGTCTCTGACCATCTCCTGTAGCATGTCTGCAGTTTTTGACCATCTCTTTAGCATGTTGAAGTCTCAGACCATCTTCTGTAGCATGTCTCTAGTTTCTGACCATCTACTGTAGCACGCTTGCAGTGTCTGACAGCTTTCTGTTGCATTATATTCACTGAATATCTCGTGTGACCCTTTGGTAATGTCCAACATCGTACCTGAGGCCCCCTATATTGAGCATGTTAACCACCACTGGCTTACATAGTGTAGGCCAGTAACTGCTCCCGATGCATCACACAAATTGGGATGTTATATTCTTTGGTTTGGGGCTACTCAGACATTTCATGCTGAGGAATAATAGCAGGCACAACCTTATAAAAAAAAAAAAGAGTATATCTAAAGTCATAACTTACTTTTTTGTGTTTGGATAGAGGTGGTTGAAACCCAAGGAGATTTCTCTTCACTTCAGTAGACAGAACAAAAATTGAGAGAACATTTCCCCAAAGTGAAGGAAATTCCCTCTTAGGCAGAAATATCTGGAACAAGAAGATTTCTACTCTATTCCAGCTATGGTGACAACTTTTGGAATTTCCATCACTTTCACTTCTGGTGAACCTACCCAATTGGGGCACAGAAAGCAGTAAAAGCCTTACAGATGTTCTAACCCCTCACCAATTTATCTAAACCGAACTTACACTTTAGATACACTTCATTTTAGATACACTTTAAACAAGGATCCAAATTACTCCACATCTTTTTGAAAAAGGTGTATAAAATGTTGTTGTACACAGAATGTAGTTTATTTAATATGGCAGATATAACAGCTGAATCCAGACACATTTGTATTCCTGGAGCTGGCTACATTCACTCTCTGGCTTTATGTTCATTGTAAAGCTAATTTGCAGCATGTGCAATAAGTCAATGCCAGACACAAGTGGAAGACTTCAGTGTAAAATATGTTGGGTGAAGAACCAATGTTGAATCCCTGGTAGAGTTCATAGGCAAACCAAATGGATGTCAAACAAAAGCCATTTCTCCTGAAAACATGCTGCATTTGGCTGGTCTGAGGACCATGTAAACAACCCCTGCATCGTGCTTTGCTTTCTTTCCATCTCTGATGATGACTTACAGTCTCTTGTGGTTAGACTGTCCAACAAGTATGAGTTAGTGAATGTAAAAAAAGGATTTCCCGAGAGTTAGGCTCCATGCACACTGGGCGTTTTCATAACGCTGCTAACATTAGCTGTGTAAAGTCACGTTAAAAACGTGAGTTTTTCAGCTTTTTTTGGCGTTTTTACATTAGCATTTAGCTGTATTTTTCTGTGTTTGCGGTTTTTAGCCTTTTTCTTTTACAAAAAAAAGTCCAAAAATGGCGGTTTGTTGCGTTTACCGTGTTTTTTTTTCCAGCTAAAAAATGTCCCTACCAAAAAACACTGATTACAGCCTATGTGTGCATGGACACATAACATGCTGGGGAGTTTACTGGCTGTAGAAAAAAACGTCAAAAGCCAAAAACAACAGCTGTAAAAAAACATCCAGTGTGCAAGAGGACTTAAACAATTACCTGTAGAAAAACAAATCTACCTGTGTATTTTTTTTTTTAAAGAAATAAAAACAGAAATGCCATGAAAGACATGGGGGTGTTATGAATGGCCCAATCCTGCCACAAATACAGCAGCTCAGGTTCACTATAAGGCCTCATGCACACTTGTAGTGTATTTAGGTTTTATGCTGCCCTAGGCAACACAAAAACCGGTGTCCCCCACAGAGAGAACCTGACATTGATCAACAACACCCCTGCCTCCCACCCAAGAGAGCCTTCCACTACCACTGCCCCCCATACACCAGCCACCATCCCCCATGGTGAGAGAAAGAAAGACACCTTCACAGCTTCAGACATCCCTGGGAACGAAAGTCAGGCTGTGCATACACCATCATGAAACTCGCAGCCTCTCTCGGAACCCACCAGGTCCGCATGCCGCTTGTGTTCCTTCTTCTGTCCCTTTGTCCAAGGGGCAGTGCTGCCACCCCTGAAAAATGTCACCCTAGGCAAAAGCCTTGTTTGCCTTGTGGTAAATACACCCCTGCACACTGGATGGTTGGCCATCTCTTGTAGACGCCTTTCCGCCTGGAAGCAGCAATTGTAGAAAAAACACTTGAGGCTTGGAAACGTGTGAAACATGTTTAGATGTGTTTAGGCACCTCAAGCACTTGGACATGAATTAATTTAATTGGCCAGAATAATAATTTATTCTGTCCATTATAATAAATTATTGCTCAAGAACTAAATGCACATTGTGTTAATGCACATTTAGACACATGCTAAGCAATTTTTCTGCCAAAACGCTGCTGCTCCTGGATGCGCTTTCAGTGGGTTTTTTTTTTTTTTTTGCAGTGTTGCATGACCGTGCAATTGTCAGTGAAAGTAACAGCGCCGTATCACATAAAATGGCCTGGCCAGGAAGGGGGGTAAATCCTCTGGAGGGCAAGTGGTTAAAGTATGTCAGATACCCCTCAGTTAAAAAGAATGCTATAATTTATCTAGATAAGCAGGAGGTATGTGCACACAAATTCTCTTTTCTAGAACCAATAAACAAAAGAGAGGTTGAGTTCTTTTGTACACACAGCTCTATTTATCTAGATAACATAGATATTTTTTGTTTATTATTGTATAATACAATGAAATAATAATATTGTACAACTTTTCTGTTTAACATTGTACAGTGAGGCCCTGTTGACACAAGTGGTCCTGCTTGTAATTTTGTTTGCATGATTTTCACGTTATTCCGTGTGTCGTGCATAGGGCAGCCTAATCATTGAATGGACTGCCTTATCCACATTTGTCATGCAAAGGAAGCTCATGCACCTTTTTCGACAATGGGCTTCATATGATTTTTAAATGCTTGTCTTGTCGGATAAAAATCGCAACAAATTTGCACCGTTTGGTGCCATTAAGAGTACTATCACGTGTTTTGCTGCAATTTGGAATCGCAGGCAGGATCTGTGATTGACAAATGTAAATGCAGTCCATGCTGTTTATTTATTTATTTCAGGTACTTATATAGCACCGTCAATTTACACAGCACTTTACATATATATTGTATATTCACATCAGTCCCTAACCTTCAAGCGGTGTCCAATCTAAGGTCCCTAACTCACATTCATACATACACATACTAGGGCCAATTTAGACAGGATCCAATTCACCTACCAGCATGTCTTTAGAGTGTGGGAAAAAACCGGAGTACCCGGAGGAAACGCACGCAGGCACAGGGAGAACATGCAAACTCCATGCAGGTGGTGCTGTGGTTGGGATTTGAACCAGCGACCCTAGTACTGCCAGGCGGAAGTGCTAACCATTTAGCCACTGTGCTGCTCGTTTATTATTGTTCCAAGCTAAATTCTAGGAATGATCTTTATTACATGCTTCCACTGGTCCAGTTTGTAAGTGTGCATTACTCATACCTAAAGGGTTGCTGGGGAAGCTGACAACCACTGTAGTATTCTGGGCTACTAAAGTGACAGATGATATATGTAAATAATTCTCGGCACAACCTATTAATATATATCAAATGTGCTATTACCCTACCAGTGTCAACCAATAATCAAGTGTTGCTGCTCACAATGAAATGTGTTTCACACACTCAACCTCAGATATTCTTATTAAATGTAAAATCTCATATTAATTGCTACTAGAGTGACAGCCATGATCTTTTGGGTCTTGCTGGGGTTCTATGTAAGAAGCACACAGAGCAACAAAGCAAAGGGTTTCTCACTGAACATTACTGCTATTCATAGAACACCTTGTATTTATTAAATGACTACAAGGCATTCTGTGATTGGACATCACAATATGCACCTTGTCCAACCAGAGAACATCTTTTTTTATTCATTGAAAACAATACAGGCTTTTCTATAAATGCCAGATGTGCCGAGCGAAAGACCCCCCTGTGGTCATTCTGTGCAGAAGGGAAGCCACTAACACAGAACCTTGGAAATCATGGCTCTCACTGTATGTAGCGTAGACTACTACAGTGATTTATGGCATCACCAGCCGCCTCCAAATATGCATACTTACATTGATTCAAGCTGGCCCAATTTAAGTATAAAAAATAATTTTCAGGAGTTAAGCTTTAAGGGTTAATACGTGAGCTTGTTCAATTATCCGTGAGTGTCTACATATACTGGTATGTATCCCCGACAATGCATTGTCAAGGTAACGACATGATACAGGAAATAAGCAGGTGTATACAGGCTGCCAGGCTCTGGCCGCTACTAGAAGAGCGTGGATCAAGCTGAGAGACATGGACGTTTCTTTCTAGCTGGTCTGTCTGTCCTATGGTGTTGAGGATCTGATCATCTGCTGCAGAACTGCTGGCCCCAGGTTAATGACCTTCCTGCACAGTGACCAAGGCTGTTCAAAGATATTTTCAGCCTGCTAAATGTGAGAAGAATATGGGATTTCTTTTTACAAATAAACATTGTTTGGAAGCCAGATCTGTGCATTCTCCTGTTTTAGCCTCCATTAACACCTGGGCTGAAGCTTTATTTCATGCATATTTCCATGTGTAGATGTTTGTATTTGACGTGTTTTGCAGTCAAGTTTTTCTCAAGCATTTTTGTTTTGGTGAGAAGAAAGCAGTATAATCTGTGACATCATATGTATGCATACTGATCCTACAGAAATATAGAGATTTACCACGGCTGCCTTGGTGTCTGGCATAGTATGACTCCCAACCTGCTTCCAAATGTTCTCCCAGAACCTCTCTCTTTTTGCTCCAGCCTTTGTAGGGGCCTTTCACACGCAGCAGACCAGTTTAAACGGATACGCTTGCTCAGCGGGGGATCCCTACGCTGAACAAGCGGATGAAAGCTCTGTGTCCAATCCACTGCTGAAGAGCAGACACAGAGTTGCTCGCTCTCCTCAATGGGTGGTTTTGATCCATTTTGATCCAACCCGATCCAACGGAAGGAAGGGGAATTGGATCCCCATCTGTACCTTTTTGGAGGATCGGATCACATGTCAGCGGATATGTGTCTATTTACACCCCGCCACTCCATAGAGGAGAATGTAGGTTCCGATTGGGTCCACCTTAAAAACGGGCAGGCATACCCAATCGAAAT